TAATTATAATATACAGTTAAACAAATTACAAAACTTGGTAAAATACATTTTAAATAAATTTCGATAATATAATACTTACACTGCCAAAATACTTATCCAATAATTCAACATATCGATGTATAATCTCCAATGTCAGCAATTCATTGTCGTTCTGTTCAATTGCGCAGCAAAAGTATAAGCTTGCGTATCTGTAAGGATAAACCCAAAGCTTTCTTTTTACAGTCATAAGGTAAGAATTTCTACGACCACCTTTCAAAATATGATATTATAGATTAGAACTGGATGAAATTCTGATAAATCGGCAATTAATTTCGGCAATTAATAATCGGCAGAAATAAAATATCTAGCCATATAACTTCTTGTTCCTAATCAAATCTTTCCATATGTTAACAAAATAACTCTACTCATGTTAATTATTTATACTAATTAATTCATCCATGTAAACAAAATTTCTAATTATATAAATTATTTAATATATACTTCCATACATTAAAAACAAAGATGTAATTCTATCCATATTAAGAAAATAACACAGGTACTTGCTAAATTAATCATCAATTAAATTAATCCGAGTCTGGTCGAAAGCTGCGATCCACTCGACGTTACAAATGCTTCAAAGCATTTCTCTTCTCCTTTTATTCAATAAGGAAAAGAGAAAAGGAACGCTTCAAAGCATTTGTAGCGTCAAGTGAACCGCAGCCAAAATCACCCTTATATTTCTACCAATATAGATCAACTTGACTCTCGGGTTTAATTTAGTTTTTATCTTTTTCTAGCTCTAAAAACTAGAAACTAAGATTAAAGTTAACTGCTGATAGAAGTGGACATTAGCCGAGTACATTCTTGATGAATCATATACCTTTTGTAAACAACCTTAACGTCCTTCCATTCTAGGAAACTCGACATTTTCGGCTTTCGTGCGAGTATCGTGGTGATCAGTTCGCGGGTGATTTTCTTTTTCAGCTTATCCGGGTGCGCGACGTACCACTTCTGTAGGCGAAGCTTCCCTTGGCGGCTAAACAGTAACATAAATTGCATCTGCAAAAAAAAAACGGCGATAGTCAACGTCGAATACCACACTCCTGTTACGTTCCTTATTGATTTGGGGACATGGCGTAAAGATTTACCATATTGCCGCTGCTATGTCTCGTCTCGCGCAATTATCTATCTCTCACAATTAGCACTACGCGTAATTAGATAACGACCGACGGCACCACCACAAAAATTGCGCACGTATAAACGCACGAAATCACCGAACCGGATTTAGAAATCGTGACTGTCATAACTTTCGCGAGGGTGCGTGGTTAGAAATCACGGCACAGTG